CTCTCTCTCTCTCTCTCTCTCTCTCTCTCTCTCTCTCTCTCTCTCTCTCTCTCTCTCTCTCTCTCTCTCTCTCTCTCTCTCTCTCTCTCTCTCTCTCTCTCTCTCTCTCTCTCTCTCTCTCTCTCTCTCTCTCTCTCTCTCTCTCTCTCTCCACCACGTGTCTTTTCCTGCAAATGTATTCGTGTCCGATGCGTGGGATACATTGAAATTTCCATAGGCATTGCTGTACGTTTGCGACGCGTAGCGATTCTGATATCTCTACGCGACATCCATTGCAGACTGCTTGGGGCCGCGAGTTTAAATGTGGTCTACGTGATACACGCAGTCAGAGGGCACAACGTTTGCGTTTACATGGATATTATCTCTCATTCGGCAAAGTGCTCTGTAACTTTTAACTCTTCCAGTCTAATGCAAAGTCTAGTATAATCGAAAGACTTTAAAAAGTTCATCTAATTTAATAAAATAAATATCAAAGTTATATTTACTTGTTTAACAATTATTACAAGACTATCATTTTTACTTTTTAATTCCACGTTATAAAGTACATTATAAATCCTATAAACAGATTGAACATCTATTTATATTTACGTTTTTAAGATAAAATTACGCGGGCTCTGTCAAACTCAGGTTAGTAAAATATCTTAAATCGTTTCGATATCTTAAAAAACAGCCGAGTTATCGTATTTACGTATTGTTAAAAATTGCAAAATTCGGTACTTCCGGTCCGGTTGAGGTGCAAACGAAATTCAAAGCGGTACAAACCGGTACAAACGATTCTCTTTCGAACCCCGTTAGCCGCGTTTCGATATCTTAAAAAACAGCCGAGTTACCGTATTTACGTATTGTTAAAAATTGCAAAATTCGGTACTTCCGGTCCGGTTGAGGTGCAAACGAAATTCAAAGGGGTACAAACCGGTACAAACGATTCTCTTTCGAACTCCGTTGGCCGCGTTTCGATATCTTAAAAAATAGCCGATTTGCCGTAATTACGTAATGTCCAAAATTTTTCGATTTTCTCGTTTTTCTCAAAATCCAAATTTGTTAGGAATTTTTTTCAAACGGTACAATGTTCGGTACAACTAGTACAATGTAGTACAGTCGAGAAAAAATCATTTTTCGAAAAGTGTGGGGCTACTAAAAAAATTCAAAAATTTCGATTTTTTGGAAATCCGCGCGTGATTTCAAAAAATTAACTACGGTACAATTTGGTACAAAACTAGTACAATGCAGTACAATTTCGATTATTTTAATTTTATTAAAGTGTGGGACTAACTTCATACACATGAAACATTGATCAACTGTGGCATATTTATATTTCAATTAACGAGCATAATTGAATGAATCAACAATGTCTCATTATCGATTGTCGAGGAACTAGCAAAGATGATAAAATTCCTATTTCTGCGCAAGCAATTTTTATAATAGCGAATCGAAACAATCATAAAGCTCTCTCGTATATATTATTTGTAAGTTGATTGATTGTAAGTTTTCAATGCGAAACGAAAGTAGTGACGAGATCTCTGTCTGTTCCACTTGTGAATGTATCGCGACAGATATCTTTCGAAAGTTCTTCGTCATCTCTCGACTATCCACAAGTCTCACGCAAAATTTCGGTCAAACTTTTCTCATTTCCGCGTAACTATTCCTCTCCGACTTCTGTTCCCTTGTTACGGCACTCTAAAATTGCGCAATACGATTGATATGTGAATTTTTTAGTTGTTAATTCCACCATATCGAGAAAAATCAATTGGGAAGAAATAGACTAAAATTTGCAATAGTAATTGCAACGCAGCCTTCTTATAGAACATCAAAATGTCAATATAATTCTCTGAGAAGCAATGTAAAATAATTTGTTTCGTTAGCTCTAATCAATGTCAATTTGCTGGAAATAATTTGGTATAATAGCGCAATTGACAGCAATATTATTCAACATCCTAGTGTTTGAACATAACAAAATAATGTGAATAATAAGTAAAGAATTGTTTTCTTTGGTTTTCCGACGGTGGGCGCCAATTATTTCTCTTATCATTCTTTACTAATTAATTAGTAATTAATTATAGTCAAAAAAATTTTTCAATATGACAATATAAAATTTAATTGATTCTACAATTGGTCCAAGATATTGTAAAAATTAAATAAATTCAAAAGAAATGTATTATTGTGTATGTGATGGGAATTTTCATTTAAATATGCGAATTTTCGGCAACGCGCAACATCAAACGTTGCTTGCCGGCAATATGGAAGGCAATATTAACAATGATTAATGACGTCAATTAACAATGGTTAGGAGCAAGCTGCGGTCGATGATACCTCGATTTCGCTATGGTTACCCGGCACCATCGACGTAACAAGAAGTCTGAAAGAAACGTTCTCCGCGGAAGAACTAGTTTTTTCGCCCCCGCCCCTCCACCCCTCTCATATCCAACTATCATCGATTTACGCACTCGCAACTCTGTTCCACCGTCATATTCTGTATTCACTCATAGATTGAAAGAAACCTTCAAAGTTTTTATCAACGCAAACTGTCGCGGAATTGCTCCTCTAACGAGACAAACCTCCTGTTTAAACGCCTATTGCGTTGCATATCAAATTCTTTAGACGCACGCTAATCCAGTATCATATAAAAGTTTTCCAACTGTTAGCGTATAGAATTAACAACGCAGCCACTCGACATACTTACTCAGTGGTTTCGAGGTACTGGAAGACGCGATAAACGGGACGTCGATACATGAAGAGGTGATCCTCGACACGCTCCACCATCATCCTAAAATCACTTCATTCGAAACGGCGGACCACTTATCATCACCGATCACTTATTAGTAATTTCCACAAAAGAGCACAACACGCACAAGAGACAAAGTTGTATGAGATCGCGAGATTCGTTTTCTCATTCGTCTTCGAACAATGTTCAATCATTCACGCACTCTTCTATTTCCAATGGATGACGAATGCGTGGAAAGCGAAACCGTTCGGCCGGATGAATTCAAGAATTCTCGTGTTTTGTTGAGTCACTGTCCTACGTACGAACGATTCACAACATCGTTCTCCACGAGAGAGAACGAAGCGGAGTTAAACCAATATCCGAGCTAGTCTCCTATCTTCACTATCACTGTTGTTCCGTCTCCGTCTCTCATTCACTGCGTTCCGCCGGTCCCATAGAATCGATAGGTTCTACATTCGGCACAAACAATCGCGAGCGGCGATCAGTGCACTAAACAACTGTATCCTCCGCGATAATCCTTCTTCGGTCAATTACCCTCACTATCACCCCCTCTTGTTCTTTTGATTCTGTCGATTATTCTGTTTATCCTGATACAGTTTTTAAACCTGATTGTAATCGAATTTTGCAAAAAATTCAGTGATTATGATGTTTCCATTGGCGATATGTATAGTTAGGATAAATTAAGGGTCAAAATGACGCGTACCTATACTATAATAACATATATGTATACGTGTAAGTACATACATATATTATACATTGAATTTGAATAGCATTATATACATTATATGTATTAAATCTTCCGTTACTTTTCGTTTTTATATGAAAAATCCAACAAAATTTCAGAATTTATTTATATTCGAAAATTTAAACATGAAATTAGTAATAAACAATTGGAATAAACAGCGCCAATAAACTCCGTATGCACTTGCTATGTTAATTTGACGATGCGCAATCTAGATTTTTAATTGCAATTTTATGAGCGATACGATAAATCGTTCCTGAGAGAAAATAGATGATGGAGTCATTTTCACACATTTTTAATAGTTTTTAATACAGAGGAGAGTAGTAAACTAATGTCTTGATCCGGTGAGGCATGTAAACTGTCGTTAATTACATTCGATGCTAGAGAAACAATCTCCTGTCTCCGTAAAGAACTTTACGACTGATAAGACTGATAA